GTATTCCCAAAGACTAAAAGTTCAGCTGACTTCAGGCTGAATATCAGCTGTAGAGTTTTAGTCTTAATTTCCATAGAGTAAAGACTACAGCCAAGTTTAAGGGAAAAAATATGCAAAATTCTGATGTTTAATGGCCATATTAAATACAACTAAAACTAGTTCTGTTTTCCTCTGCTTTGACTAACAGTATGCACATTGGCAGTAATTTTCTCTGACATTAATTTCAGTAATTTTGTAATACTTAATGTTTACATATGTTCAAATAAAATAATGAAAAATATCCAACTTTTAAATGTATAATTATTATTTTTTAAAATATATTTTATAGATTTTTTACAGAAAGGGAGAGGGATAGTTAGAAACATAGATGAGAGAGAGACACATCAATCAGCTGCCTCCTGCACACCTCCCAGTGGGGATGTGCCTGCAATCAAGGCACATGCCCTTGACAGGAATCACACTTGGGACCCTTGAGTCTGCAGGCCAATGCTCTATCCACTGAGCCAAACTGGTTAGGGCTAAATGTATAATTATTTTAACTTGTGTTTTAAAATAGTTTTTAAAAGGCAACTGGTATTCAATTTATTGGAGTATTTGTATAAATTAAATTTAAATTCTAACTGTAAAAATGCTTAATTACCAATTGGATTAAATGACCTAAGTATATTATATTTTAGAAGTCTATTTTCCAAACTTACATGACAAAATTTCACTCCTATTCACTGTTTTGTGTTGACTGAATATATACTATTGGGAGGGCAGTAAAAAATAAAAAAGGAGGTTTATGACAGAAGGATATTTTGCTGCTTCTATAAGTATCATTTTAGAGTCAAAATCAATTGTTCATTCTTTATTTTGTTCAAGTTGAAGTAAAATTATTATTCCATTGGCATGTTTTTCTTGACACTACTGACGGTTGTTAATAAAAAGATTAATGCAATAATGTGCACATTTCATTAGAGAAAAGAAACCTTCATTTTTTTTTAGAAAGTGGTTAAATGGTTTCTTTCTTTCCTTTTCCACCTCACTGATTTTCCAGCACTCTGAGTCAAAGCAGTCCTGCTCTGCTTGACACATATCAAGTCCTCGGCTTTATTAATAATACCTTCGAAAGAAGTGTAAAACTTTGATACTACTGTAGCAATATTCTAATTGTCTCTGTTCATATGTACTTATGAGCAGAGACAATTAGATAACATATATAAAACAATTTCTTTGTGTGTATATGTGAGCATATATAAAATAATATATATAATTTTTCTTTCAGACTGCTCTGTGTTTTAAATATGCAATCTGCTGCATTTTAATATTTTCTACCACTCAAAGAGATAAAAAGTTTATGGTTTATAGTGTTAAGGGGAAATAATTTGTCATTCTTAAGCACTGTGCACCCTACTTAAAGTAATACAGTTATCTGTTGGGATAATTTAAGTCATAGAAAAAGGACAAAACAAAGAAATTATTTATATCATATAATTTGATATTACATGAATTTTTGAGCAAGTTATAAATACTTAAGTAAATATTATATATATATATTAATTTCTATTTTCTTCTTAGAAGCAGTTCAATAATCCATTCAGAGCCAAGATTAAAATACATATAAATACTATGGTTTAAATTAAACTATTAAGAGTTATAAAGTGTTTACTGATTATTTTTGTCTTTATCTCCAAACACAGACATTTATCTTTTTTCTCTTGTAGAAATACTTGTCTATTCAACATTGTTTTGGTTGTTCTCTTTTCTTCCTAGGTGCAAAGCTAAAAAAAAAAAAAAACAAAAAAAAAACTTTCCCAGCCTCCTTTGCCATTAGGTGTGTGCACATGATTAAGTTCTGGCCAACAGAATGCCATGAGAAGTGAGGTGGGCCACTTCTCAGCCTGCCCCATTGAATCATCCACTCATGCTCTGCCATGCGGACTTGGAGGAGACTCATGTTTTCAGCCCCAAACACATGGCACATTTCATCTAACTTAACTTGAACAAGCTTGACTTTACAAATATATGGCCAGATGGTAGGAAAGCCACATGGGAAAATGTAATGTTCTAGGAACACAAAATAAGTACTCTGATACCATTTTTACATGTACAGGCTTCTAGGAAGAAAAACGTTATCAGAAGTTGGGAGAAAGGGCCATCTGTCAAGAGCCTAGACATCGCCTAGAGGGACTGAGTCGGCCTCTGGGATACCTGACAAGGCCAAGGGAACACCGTTTGCTTATTGTTTGTAAAAATCCTGACATAATTTGCTTTGCCCTTGGAGTCCCCGCTAGTGTTTGCCGATGACTGAACCCCACCGGAAGCCAGAGGACAGGAGAACAGGTATGGGTTTTCTAGGACTGCCTCAGCAATGTCCCACAAAATGGGCAGCTTAAGGAAATAGAATGTATTGCCTGACTCACAATTTTGCAAGATAGAGGTTCAAGATCAAGGTATTGGCAGAATTTATTCCTTCTGAGGACTGTGCCCGCAACCAAGGTACATGCCCTTGACTGGAATCCAACCTGGGACTCTTCAGTCCGCAGGCCAAAGCTCTATCCACTGAACTAAACCAATTAGAGCGATATTTTTTTGTTAAGTATCCTTAAAAGTAACATGTAATGAGGATAGTGAAAAATAGGTATTCTTGAGATTTTTTTAAATGTTTCACATTTAATGTTTCTTTTAAGAACACTTTACATACTATGTTGTCATTTTTGAAACACGGAATAGGCACGTTATAGTAGATAAGATTTCCAAGTCAGGGGCAGAAGATCTGCGTTCTGACCTTGCCCTCCCACAGGTTAACAAGAAAGATGTCTCCTTTCTCCTAGTCTCAGCTTCCAAATATGCAAAATGAGTGTTTTGGACTGAATTATGTCTCCCCAAAATTGATATGTTGAAGTATAAACCCTTAGTACTTCAGAATGTGGCTGTGTTGAAGACAAAGCATTCAAAGGAATAAGTAAAATGAGGTCATTAGGTGAATAAACACTCATCCAACATGATTGATGTCCCTATAAGAAAGAAACAGGACATGAATACACATTGAGGAATATTATGTGAAGACACAGGGAAAACACAGTCATCTACAAGCCAAAGAGAGAGGCCTCAGAAAAAACCACCCTGCCAATGCCTTCACCTTAGACTAAATTCCTGTTGTTTCAGCCACATAGTCTGTGGTAGGTTGTGACAGCAGCCCAGCCTAATCACGGCAATGGGCATTAGGGCATTATGAGTTTTCTGATGATTAGATACAATTATGTGTTTGTAAAGCATCTAGCACATGGTGGTTAATTAATGTGTGTTAATTTTGTTCTTGCTGCTGCTAGTTTTTTTTTTTTTTTTAACTGGGCAATTAATTTATAATTATTGTGTTTATTGTGAACATTCAGCGGTTCTTTCAAAAGAGTAGAAAATAAGAAATCAAATTATATTTTCTATAATTTGTCAGAAGGCACATGACTTAAAAGTTATTCATAGATTTTGGAATAAGAGTAGCCAAACTGTGCTAACAATGTTATTTTTTAACTATGTTATTATCAGTATTTAATCTCTTTACCTTTCAGTTTTGCACCTGGGAATTTGGTTAATAATTAAATTTGCATTTTGAAACAAAAAATTCATAGATGTAATATAATTACCAAGGGCCACAAAGTTGTGCAATAAACTGTAACTACAATTGCTGTGCTCTCATTTGTTTTTTAAGCCTTTTCCAACATACCCCAGGCCAGACAGCTTCTCCTGGTGCATCCTCTGCCTCTCCCATCATTTGTCTTTTAGTTTCCTGGAGGAGCCAAAATGTCTTTTGTGACATGAGTCCTACTGCTGCCCCCGTGCTCAGACATCTGCTTCCCCCCAAGACAGTGGCAGTGTCTGAGGAGAGACATCGTTACCTAGGCAGATAGCATTTCCCATAGTGCAATGCCCCCAACAATAGTTACTTGTGAGGTGAAAATGCTAAGCAAATAAATGTTGAGGGTTCTGTGTCTATGTCTTGAGTTAAGCAAAGCATGTGAGACTTTAGTAAACAGGATTACAGAGATCTTAAAATGCTCATGCGCATTGTGACTAGTCAGGAGTGTCACGTATGTAGCCTTTCCTCAATTTTGTTGATAATAGACTTTGTGTGTGTGTGTGTGTGTGTGTGTGTGTGTGTGTGTGTGTGTGTCTGTGTTTTGTCAATTTCCTTAAGAATATGTACTTTAGACAATAGAATTTAGGTCGTTCAGGTCTAAGGAAGGTAGAATTTCCTTAAAACCTTTTCTTTAACTTCTTTTCCCGGTTTCCATTTTGGCCTCTTTACTTTCTTCTTTATTGATGTTAAGTAGATAACAATTTTTATTATAATATATTGTCATAACCAAATGAATTACTTCAGTCTACATATTAGATAAGGATGGAGGTGTTTTAAAGCATCACTTAAAGGTGGAAGAGGCAAAACACAAAACACAATGACACTAAATCTATATTAAAATTTAAACCTTACTAAATTTGAAGAAGGCAAATTAAGGGCAAATGTCATTTTCACTTATCAGATTGGCAGAATGATACCTGGTGTTTGTGAGGGTTTTGGAATAGATTCACCTTTAAACACTGCCTTTGGGAATATAATATGTCAATGTTTCTATTTTGAGTATGGTATAATGGATCATTTTAATTGTCCACTTTATGGTTTTTCTGGATATTCCAAATTTTCTAATGTAAATATATTTTATTTTGATATAAAAAATAATGTTTTTTTTTCATGATTCTTATAAGAAGAAAATAAGATGAGGCTTTTATGGCTTTTTATAATCTGCTTATGTAAGTTTGTTGATAATGTAATCCTTATAACATTTTCCCCCAGTACTATTTTAAGGGCGCATAGAAAAGGCAGAATGGGTTGATAAACATTAATTCACATACAAGTGCATGTGAATACTAATCAGGGTAATCTCTACTTTCAAATGGCAAGAACAATACTCAGCGAATGTCTTTGCTACTTAAAAGATTAACTGGGAGAGAAAATATCTTACCTGATAAGCAGTGAATGCCATTGCCCATCATCTACTTTAATAGTAGTGTTAACGCTTTCCAATTTTGCTTCACCAGCACAGAAAAAGTAGTACTATGTGGGAAAAAAAGGTTTTCCTCAGTTTTCCTGTGTGAAACTAACATCATATGCTTGCATTAGACTTTACAATTCACCAATAATTTTTCTTATTGTGTTAGCCAAGAAGTCTGAAACTTGAAGAGAAGTGACAGCTCAAGGTTATACAGCTAATAAGGGCTAGGATTAAGAGACATAAATGTATAACTATTGCATACATATATACACCATACATGTATACACACATATGCACATGTGTGTGCACCCTCCCCCTTACACACACACTTCTGGTTTCTTTTCCAATATTTGGGTGAACCTATTATAGTTGAGGAAGGCTGCTTCTTCTGTCACCAGGGAACAGGTTTTGGCAATTTTCCATCAATGTGTAAGACCAGTGAATACATTATAGTTGGTGATGTTAACATCACAGGAAGGGAAACTTAAAAGATTATGAAAGTTAACCATACACTCTAAGCTTTCCAAAGCTTAAGGATACCCATGGCCATTTGTAGGATTATTGCTAATTGGGCTAATCCTATCTAATAAAGAGGGAATATGCTAATTGACCCTCAAGCTGTCGCAAAAATGGTGGCGCCTATAGCCAATAAGGAGGGGAAATGCTAATTGAATATTTCACCCTCAGAGAAAGTGGCACCCACAGCCAAAAGATGCCTGCACCCAGTCCCCTCAGCTCTGCACACCTGCCTCTCGAGTCTCCCAGACTCTTTATTCCCCCAGCTGCCCAGGGCCAGCCTGAGGTGCAGGCAAGAATCAGATGATGTCCGAGGCTCACCTAACCAGAGACGGCCAAGGCTTGCACTGCCGGCAGTGGCAGCAACAGAGGTATGATGGGGTATCGCCTTCCCAATTGCCAAGTTGCCTCCTGGTGGGCTCCTGGTCTGTGAGAGCGGGCAGGCCAGGCTGAGGGAACCCCCTCCAGTGCATGAGTTTTCATGCACCAGGCCTCTTGTTGAGTTATAGTTTAAAAGGGGCAAATTATGTCTATAACTCGTATGTTTGACTAGACATTTCTGGGAATCTCAGGAGTGGGCTGCACTTCCTATTTATCCTCTTAAAAGAATGTGCCTGGATATATACCAGTTATATTGTGGCTATTTTTCCCCAAAAAAAGGCTTTATAGTCTTTATCATATCTGTAGGATATCTGTAATCCACATATAAGTTAAAGAAAAACAGTGGGGCAAAGTGTTTTATAACTCCTATGCATCCAGCTATATTAAACTGATATATTTAAATATTCCCAAATGTAGCCCAAAAGGAAACATAATGTCATGTATTTTATCTTTTAATGATATTTGGGCATTGCAAAAGGTTTCTTTCCTTTATAATATTATCTGCTCCAGGTTCACTTTACGAAATACTTTAAACAGTACTGAGATTTAAAAAATAAATACATCTCCATGCACTTGGAAGGAAAATAAGTTGCATAATATTTGGCTACAGATTTTTCTCAAGCCATGTGAAACTAAGTAAAATTCAGTGTTTATTTACTGAATTTTTACCCTGCTTTCCAGGATACAACTAAAGTTACTAAAGAATACATTTAATATTTTTGATACCACAGAGGATAATTTATCTGTTTCTTATGTATAACACCTAGAAAGGTTTGTTGTTGGTTAAGAGTTTTAAAGCTTAAATAATGATGTGCTAACGAACAGTGCATGCTTGTGGGAAGAGTAGTCTCGATTTGCTAAAATACTTAAAAAATTATTTCTCAGGTACTACTAAGATATTAATTTCTATTATCTTTAGGGGTGTCAAAGTTAAACATACATAAAATTTTAATGGGCAATTCTATTAATTTTACTTATAGTTTCTCTTATAAACAGCTCATTTATAATTGTATAAGAAGCAGATTTGCTGCTATTGACTGATGACTGTTATCATGGATTTTTAAAGCACTTTACAAGTGTCAAATGATCATTTCCTTACAAAACAAAAGTAAAACCAAACAAAAATATATAAATTAGGAATTATCCTTTTATGATTTCCACCAAACAGAGGCAGAAATAGGTGATTTGCCCTCAGCCAGGGAGACAGTGTAATCTGTGACACAGCTAATGCATTGGGGGGCTGATATTTGAGTCCCAACTTTAGATGTATCTACTTACCTCCTTGTTATTGGAAAGAGACAATAAAATATTTTTAAAAAATTAAGTTTGATAAAACTTTAAAGCTTAAATTTTCTAAAATTTATTTGACTAACAATTCTGCATGTATAGAATTTGAATAGGTCTTAAATTATGTTCATTGTAAAAGTTTAACAACAAATATGTTTTTTTGGTTAAAATTGTAATGTAAATATATTCCTCATATGATTATACTTTTAAAGTAGATGAGAAAATTGGAGGATAGTCTGGCAAATCATAGGGAAACAAGGAAGATTTTAAAATCATAAAGATAAAATAATGCTGAAATTTCCTTCAAATTATAAGAAAGCAGTGATGTGAGTGGAAAGAACATGGATTTCATATTGATACAATAGAGTAAAAATTATTGATCTATTGTCTTTAAAAAAGATTGAAGAGCCCTAGCTGGTTTTGCTCAGTGGATAGAGCATCGGCTGTGGACTGAAAGGTCCCAGGTTCCATTCCAGCTAAGGGCACATGCCCGGGTTGAAGGCTCCATCCCCAGTAAGGGACATGCAGGAGGAAGCTGATCAGTGATTCTCTCTCATCATTGATGTTTCTATCTCCCACCCCCTCTCCCTTCCTCTCTGAAATCAATAAAGAAATATATATTTTTTTAAAAAACTGATTGAAGAGCATGTGTAATAATACAAAACTCTCTGAGAGCCTTAGTTTGTCCACAGCAACCTTGTGACACATTTAACATGCCACATGCATTGTTCTACATGTTTATATGCCACACTTATTTATTCACTGTATTGCATTTGCTTCATGATATCTATTTACTTACTACTAATTTAAACCTCACAATGACTTGTATTAACTTCACTTGTAAATTTAAGTGAGTAAATTTAACCAGAAGGTCCTTAAGTGTTTTGCAGGTCTCAAAGCTCTTAAGGGGCAGAACTGGAATTCAAACTTCAGACAGTCTAGTTCCAGAGTCCATGTTCTTACTAAATTTTCTTATGATGAAGCCTGATACATAATTGCAATTCAGTAAACAATAGTCACTATTACAGACATGTCAATACATAGATCATTTCTTTGTCATAAAAGCTAATGAAAAATTCTACACCTCTTTTTATCCTTTACATTTTACAATTCTTAAATGTCTTGGTTCAACCTATCATGAAGTTATTTTTATCCATGTGAAAGTGAAAGAAGTTTCCTAATCCACTATTTCATAAAATATTTTCACCGCAGCTCCAACAAGTCTCTGGACATTCCTCATAATGTCTCTGATTGGAGATGTCCACAGTGGTGAGAGTAATTAACTGAGTTATACACTTAGTTATGGCAGTTGAGTTAGCAGCAGAAAATGTGCTGAGAAAACATTCTGAACATGACCAATGCTCAATATTATCTTTGCTTTGTAATTGCTTACATTTTGTCTCTGTATTTTTCCCCCCTCCTCATTATAAGACTAAGGGGAATTTCTGGTCTTAATTAAGAAAAAATGTGGTAGACCAGGGATCAGCAAAGTGTATCTCAGAAGGTCTGACTGATGTTTGATGACTTATTCTAGTATCTTATTCATTACATAATTATATTTTCTTGCCCTGGTTCCATTTGTTATCATTATTTGTAATGAATTGGAAGCAATATAAGGAGAATGATATGTGTTTTATTTACCATTGAATCTTTAGAACCTAGCAAAGTAAATGATAACAGATAAATGTTTAATGAAAAAATAAATTAATAAAAACGTTGCTACTACAAATCTTTTATATCCATTTAATTTCTATGATCTGATACCAGTTATTTATGTATATGAGTTACCCCACTTTAGAAAGATGAGCATTTAAAGAAAAAAATTACAATAAATTTCTAAAATTTGCTCTAAATTAAATAAATTTAATGGCTTACCTGTAAAGTACCATTTTCAATAAATAATTGAATAAAAAATCCATTTACTAAATTTGAGTCTTGCTTGATGTAGATCAGAAGGCCATGGGTTCTGAAGGTCTGAAATTTTAGGGAGATGTTATTTTGTGGACTTAAAAATATATTCTGAAATTCTAGAAAGGAACATCCATAATAACAAACACAACTGAAACCTGTAGAATCTGAAAAAAAGAAAAGAAAGAAAAGTAATTTAGGTTGATATAGAATGTTCAATAGTTGGGTGTCACATTATTAATATTAGCTTACGGTTTTCTGAAATGGCTGAAATCCGACTCTTTCCTGACTATTGCAAGCCTAGGCACCTATTTCCTTTGCCTTAGTTACAGTGACTTGTAATATTTCTGTATATTGGGGGCTTCATAATCAAATTTCAGTGGAAGACAGGGATGACCAAATGATTAACCTTCAATAGTGATTTTACTTAGATTTTATGTTATAAGTCAGTGTTTTTCAACCTTTTTTGGGCAAAGGCACACTTGTTTCATGAAAAAAATCACGAGGCACACCACCATTAGAAAATGTTAAAAAATTTAACTCTGTGCCTATATTGACTATATATAAAGTAATTCTCTTGAATAGGAATCAAATAAACACAAAGAAAGTATTTTATAATTACTTTATTATGAAATATTAAGTAAACAAAATAGTGAAAAATTATAAAATTCTTGTCTTGTCTGCACCTACGGCACACCAGGCAACATCTCGCGGCATACTAGTGTGCCGCGGAACAGCGGTTGAAAAACGCTGTTATAAGTCAACAGAAACAGGAACAGTTATCAAAGTGTAATTCACTGAATCTATAAATGTTGGTACAATGTTATGTTTTATGTCATTGTAAATTTGATTGAGTTGCTATTCAACATTGATAGACATTATTGGAAGTAAAGGAATTGTCATCCTTTTATAACAACATTATATTATCTGAATTAAAAGAAAATTCTCTCTCATCTTTCTTTTTTTCATTTACGTTATGAATTATTACATTTTAATTAGCCTTAATCTTTCAAGTAAAATATGGGGATATTTTGAACAAAATAATTTGACAATTTCTTAAGTTTATAAATATATGGTTAAATGAAACCTAGTTAGCTTATTTCTCTGAATAAGGTGTTAATTATTTTATATTATTATGTTACTTTTCTTTGATGAACTCATAATTAACCACTGCTGGTTGATATATCTATAACAATGGATTTGAGTATCTTTTTTCATTCACTTTCTCCCTTCTGCTCCTCCTGTGACACATATTTACACACACTAACTCTGTTCTTGAAAATTTCCAAAGTTTTTATTCTTTTACAATTCATAGAAGAGATAATTCATGAAGGCTTTTTAGTTTGCTGTTCATCAAGGTTAGGTAATTTTAAATATTTTCATTAAAACTTCTATAGATTTTATATTTTATATGGAGTTTTTCTTAATATAAAATTTTCAATAAAGCTAAATTTTCAAACTTGTAAAAAAATATCTAAGAAAATAATTAGCTAAATCTCAAAGAAATTTTTCCTTTTAACCAGAAATACAAAGGCTCAAAATACTGCCAGAAAACAATTGTGCTTTGTAGACAAAAAAAAAAAAAAATATGTGTGTGTGTGTGTGTGTATGTATGTATGTGTATATATATATACATATATATATATATATATACACACACACATATATATATCCTTCCTCTTGTTGATTTCAGAGAGGGAGAGAGAAAATCAATGATAAGAATCATTGATCCTGATTGGCTGATTCCTGCACACCCCACACTAGGAATTGAGTTCACAATCTGGGCATGTGCCCTTGACTGGAATAAAACCGGGTAACCTACAGTCCACAGGCTAATACTCTATCCACTGAGCCAAACCAGCTAGGATGGATGCATTTTTAAAAATCTAGTGCTTTATTAGAGAAGTAGGTCCAAAATTGAAAATATTAAAAACGTGCTTTTAATTCTGACATTCTAATTGTTCTAAGATAAAGACAGATATTTCTTCCTTATAAAATTTATTTTTTAAAGCAGCTCAACAGCTTTTATTAAAGATACTTTACGCCAAAACCAGTTTGGCTCAGTGGATAGAGCTTCCCTCTGTGGACTGAGGGGTCCCAGGTTTGATTCAGGTCGGGGGCGTGTACATTGGTTGCGGGCACATCCCCAATGGGGGGTGTGCAGGAGGCAGCTGGTCGATGTTTCTCTGTCATCGACGTTTCTAGCTCTCTATCCCTCTCCTCTCACTTCCTCTCTATGGAAAATCAATAAAATTTAAAAAAAAAAGAGACTTTAATTAGAAATCATGGCCAGTCAGCAAGACATTAGAATTTATAGTATATTTCTTCTGGAGACAATAGTCCATTTTCTTATAACTCCTCAAAAATAAGCTACAGAATCAAATAATGTTAAAGATGAGATACATGTTGGGAGTCTCTTACCTGATATTAATCTGATAAAACTATTGCAATGATTTTGACGCTTAAATAATTCTCTTATTGTAAAGTTTTAATGCTGATATTAAAGGCATGGTGCAACAAGAATTTCACATACATTAAATAATATGAAAAGTTTTTAGACATTTATTGGATTGCATGCCCTCATATTATAATTATTCCTTTGAATAAGTTTGTATGTTTTTGATACAAATAACCAGAAAGCCCAATTTCAAATAGCTTCAGCACTAAATAATTTAATGGCATAAGCAACAAGATCAAGAATAGGGTGGGCTTCTAAATGGATGTTTATGTACCGGTATGCAAAAGGTCAGCTGGTTTTTCATAAAATATCTAAACTTCTTCTGTCTCTCCATTCTGCTAGTCACAAAGTGAGCTTCAATCTGAGACTTGCTTTATTCCTGACTTAATATATTGGTTAGTGGTAGTTTAAGTGCCATACTTCCTCATTCATGACCAATCTTCAGTTTCCTATAGTTTCAAAAGAGGAGGGAAGAACTTTCCCAGTCACAGAATGAACCTCTCCTAACAGTTTAGTGGCCCAAACTGGGTCACCAATGGAGCCTTCCACCTAAGATGAGGAAAGGGTCAGTTCCCACTGAGACTGTGGGGATGGGTTCACAGTGGACAAAACTGTTGTTCCGTTTGGAAGAGTACTTCAAAATCAAATCTCACACACCCAGATTTATGATTTACTTCATAGTTACTCTGACTGTTGGATTCAAGTACTCAAAATACTCAATAGAATGGTTCATGGCAATGTAAATATTATGGTATTATAGAAATAAAGCGTATTTCAAAGTAAATTATGAAATATTTGCTTTTTTTCACAGATTATTCCATGGTCTATAAGTCAGTAACAATACATAGAGCAAGTATTAATTGCATAAGGCACAAGAAAAAGGAAGTTTAGAAAATAATAATGAAATAGAAAGCAGGTGTATGCAGTTTAAGATTGACAGAAACTTTCAGTGTAGCCAAAGAAGACTTATAATGAACATAAGCTTCAAGGAAAGCTGAAAGAGGACTAACTAGTCAAATAGTTAATTTTTTTTTTCCTGAAAGTAATTAACAGCCTTTTTAAAAAAGGATGCACAGCATAGGTGTGTGAAATTTCCTTTTTGCCAGCAAATGAAAAGTGGGAAAATTCTTTTGTCACCCACAAAAATAGGAAGTAACTCAAAATACAAGTCAAATCATGCAACTCTCCTGGCTTAAAAACACTTTCTGCTGTCACTTGCTACGATATAATTGCTTAGTATTTACTCTGTGTAGACTCTTTTCCCCCCTCTTTTGTCTTTTAATGTGGAGGCTCCTTCTTATACTCATCTGCATTACTAGTTCTGTCACATATTATCCTTCCCGTACATGAGGTCTTTTTCTGGGATCAGTATCCTATTTTTGTTGGACAAATTGTCTACCTCACACCAAACACTAACTTAAATAGTAGAGCTATATGGTAAGTCCTGACATTGGACTGGGAAAGTCCTGAATATACTTCTTCCTCAGGACTGTGTTACTATTTGCCCTGTGCATTTTGATATGAATATTAGAATCAGTTACAAGTACAAACATCCTATTGAATTACTCAAAATTCTTATTACAATTGATTTGAATTCCATTAATTTTGTTAAAAGCATGTAAGTAATTGGTGTCTTTGTGTTCCTTTATCTTCCTGTACATGGGCATATTAGATGTCTCCATTTTACTAGGGTTTCTAAAAACACTTTTAATATAGTTTTATAACTTTTTTCATAAAGTTTCCATGCATATTTTCTTAAGTTAACTTCTAGAAACCTTAGGAATGTATTGCTATTTTAAATAGTTTTTTGGAATGTTATATATTTAACTCATTATATTGGTATATTGAAATTCAACTGAGTGTTATATATTAAACAACCTTGTTGAACTTTCCTATTTTTAATAATACCGTATCACTTGTGAGAAATGAAATTTTTTTGTTCCTAATTCTTAAACTCATTTACATTGCCTAGGACCATCAGGACGGACAATGAACTGAAATAATGATAAAAAAAAATTGTTTTTCTTATTTTGATTTTACAGAGAAGGCTTTTAAGTTTTCATCTTTGAGTATAATTCTTTGCTCTTCTTTTATATGTGAACATTTTAACTCATAAAGGAAGCTCATAAACCTGGTGGTTGCCAGAGGGGAAAGGAATGGGGATGGGCAAAAATGGTGTAAGGAATCAAAAGGTATGAGCCCTTAGTTATAAGTTAAATAAATCATGAGGATGTAATGTATGTATAGCATGGTAACTATACTTAATGATATTGCATTACAGATTTGCTAGTTGCTAAGAGAGTAAATCTTTTTTTAAATATATTTTTATTGTTGACAGTATTACAGATATCTCCCATTTTCTCCCCCTTTCCCCCCTCCCAGTCCCTATACTGCCTCCACCCTCAAGAAGAGAGTAAATCTTAAATTTCCTTATCACAAGGAGAGAAGAAAGAAAACAAAATTGAACTATGTATGATGATAGATAATAACCAGACTTATTGTGGTGGGTGATCATTTAGCATTGCATACATATATGAAATCATTATGTTGTATGCCCCAAAACTAATATAATGTTATATGTCAATTATATCTCAATGAAACAATGTCAACAAAATGACAGCTGGAAACAATAATGCAAAACTGCTCAGGACATAGAAAAAGATACCAAAGGTTATGAAGAAAAAAGAAATTTTCCTCTTC